GTGAAAGAAAACAAATGGGTTTAAATAGAATTACCACACTCTAACTAAGACCGAGGCCTTTTGTGATAAAACCCCACACCTGACGGATTGGGCGGGTGGTAAAGTGGGGACAGTATCGGTGTTGTTAGAGTGGGACCCAACGGGCAGATCCAAATTTTCAACAGTCCACCCAATTAGCTGTTTCATCATAGCGGACTGTCCCACAGGTAGTTCACTCTGAATCAATTGGATATAAAGCTCAGTTTGCATAAAGATCTCAGCATATGATGTGGATGATTTGGTGGGTGTAATGCTCTAATCAATGTCATTCTAGTAGCTCAAACAAGCCTACGCATTGCTCATTTTGTGAGTGCATAAAAGGAATATAGAACTTTTCCAATGCATGGCATTGAATCGTTTCTCTTGATTGTTGACATATTGAAAGTCGTCATGTTGCAATGAGGCTGCCACTACACCGCCCTTCCCCTTTCAGAAAACTACGACTGGATACCTTATCTTTGCTCCACTTGTTTGTTTTTGCATAAATTCATAAATAATTGGATGAGGAAAATCTTTAGATCAAGCACAAAATATTATATTCTCAAAGCTGTCTTGCCACAAAACATTTCATTCTGAAAAATGATTGAAAAGACATCATGAGAAGATTCATGACTAGCCTATACATGCAGTTTCGATCGTGATTACCATTTATTATTAGTATTATCATCTAAAACTAGTAATTTATTGTGTCGTACACATGCGTTTAAGTATGAAACTGAAACGGTAGATAACAACCAGCGCCCATGGCCTAATGGATAAGGCGCTTGACTTCTAATCAAGCGATTGTGGGTTCGAGTCCCACTGGGCGTGCTTTCTTGTCTTTTTATCCCTTTTTTTTTTTTTTTTTCCTATTTATGCTTCCTTTTTTTTTTCTTTTCCAAAAACTTCATTTTCAATAAACCTCTTTTCTTAATGGGTTCCGGGAGAACATGAAAACAGAGGGAAGAACTAAATCCGTATCCTAAGCTTACAAAAATATCATGTCTAAACCAAATCCTTGTCAAGCTTTAAACTTTATGAACCATACAAAATTGACAACATCCAAGGTGGTTCTAACCTTTTTTCTCTTTTTATATATGATATGTATAAATTTCTATTTGATTTATATGCTTTAAATAAGAGACACTATAGTCTATTAAACTCACAAACAAAATCATTTTTCAAAAGGTAGGAATTTTCTTGTGTTATTTTACGTTCGCCTTGGGTCATCGTATCAAATGACTTGACAATTATTTAGTTTGTTCATAAATTATATGATGTTACACACATCATTTTTTTTTTTAATGAATGGAAATGGAAATTCGAATTTAAGCCATCTTTTAACATTTAAAAGAAACATGCATTAATTTCGAATAAGATGATTCCACTTAATCTATATGCCTGCTATAAATAAATAAAAAAGTTAAAAAGAAAACGCTATCAAATGTAATATGGATTCATGTATAAACAAAATCAAGAAATAGAAAAGAAACTGAAAAGAGAAGACATTTTCTTCATTCAATGTTAGTTTATAAGATTTTCGTGTCAAAACTATATTACTTGTCTTTGATATGAACCCAATACGTTTTTTATTGCGTTAATTGAGATGGAGTAATTGACTTTCATGGTTGTGTTAGATGATGCTAAACCTTTAAATCTTTACTTGTATCGATCGTGTCTAGATTATTTTTCTTAGAAAATTTTGAGATTATGCCTTGTTTACACACCGTCTTCATAGAGTGAACCAAAAGAAAAAGTACATTGAGTATAACAACAAAGTAGGACTAGTAAGTCAACTAGTGAAAACTCATTCCATAAGATTTTTATTATTTAAAAAAAAAAAAGATACGCTCGTTCAAAATTAGGTGTCCTACAAGGGTTTGCAGCCTAAGTAATTAAGAAGACCTAACATCTTAGTTCATATGTTCGAATTCTCGTCGCCATTATCCATATTAGAAACACACTTTGATGAGTGTTGGTTGTGTTCAAAATATAAATAGCGTGCACCAACCATTAGTTCTATATACATCTCCTTGAGTCCTCTTTGGCAAGATATGGAAGGGAAGTGTGTTTCAACAACTTTAAAAGCCATTGCAATAGAAGAAGAAGAAAAAACCACATAATTGAATTCAAAAGTCCACAATCAGATTTGATCACTATTTATGAATCTTTTTCAAAACAATCACTTCCAATAAGTTACAGGGGCGGAGCTATACTGGGACTAGTGTGGTCCCGGGCCCCCACTCAAGTTTTTATATATTTTAAAAGTAATATACTGTTATGTATTACTATATGTATATTATTTCAAATATTTTACGTTTTGATATGTACCCACATGTATTGTGGCGGATCTATTAAGGCACAATGAGGTGCTTCATTTACTTAAGTTTACAATGTAAATGTCTTTGTCCTTTTACTTTAATTTATTTTTATATTACTCCATTTACTTAAGTTTACAATGTAAATAAGGAAGTACCCCCTATTTGGATTCAAATAAAAATACTAGAAAATCAAATTCCCACCAAATCAAAATATGAAAAATCGGTTTTAGTGCAAAATACGATTTAGGCTAAAAATGATGGCTCATTAAGTCAATAAATACTTTATATTAAAATCCCATAAAATCAAGTTTTCTTATTTGATGTGTAAGGAATAAAAGCCGCCAAAAAATATTTGAGAAAATGATTTTTTTGAAAAACCATTTTTCATACTTAGTCAATATTTTTACATAAAACATTTTTTCATGTATGATAATATGATATAAATGCATGAAGGGACCTAAGGTTTTCTTTAGTTTGTGAAATTTTGATTTTTTCTTTCTATTGGGTTTAATGGGGAAAAAAGCTTTAAAGATATTTGCTAAATCGTTGCTCTTTGTCTATCTCTTACAATTTTTCTTGCTTAAAATGTATTTGTCTATCTCTTTGTCAAGGACAATTATGATTGCAACCAATAGGCAATATAATTCTTGACATATGTGATATATATACTATTTTTTGTATGTATTGTGAGTTCGAACTTTTGATTCTTTATAATTTGTAAGAGGCCCCCACACACATGAAATCCTGGCTTCGCCACTGATAAGTTATGTCATGGTCGTGCTTTCATTACTGTTGTAGATATTATTACATGTCATTTCTCACTCCTCACATGATTCTCGAGTAAAAGGTGCCCTTTTTCTTTTGATTTTATTTTCTTGTCAATATATAGACACACATGATGATTAGTGCAAAGTTTAGAAAGCAGTCATGATCACAATAATTGAAACTTGAACCAAATTTTATTGGATACTAACAATACAAGCACGAGAAGTGTGGACTTGTCCATTTCATGCATGTTTCAGAAGTTTGGTGAGGTGTAATATCATGCGATCAATCTCTCATTTCTTCTTCCTCTGGTTGTTTTATTTTATATATGATGTCAAATAAGTGCCACGCCTCTGAGTTGTTAATTACTTGGAGACAGATCAGGTTTTCTTGTCAACAAATTGTGGCTAGATTGGCTAAGTTCCTTATCTGGAATCTGATTTGTGGAAAGTGACCCCTTTCTGCAACAACCCATATGATTATATTCTATTTTCCTTATTATAATTGTGTTGCGTACTCAATCGTGTGATAGAAAAGTACCTTTCTATGAGGTGAGGACATGGGTTATTTTTGTAAGAGAAACCGATCTCTGTGTGTTTCAGAACTTGCGAAAATTCAAATATAGGTCGTCTAAGTTTACAGTTCACCCCATTACCGTCCCTCCATCACTAGGGCTCGTAGTATGAGTTGAGGTCGACATAGATTTTGATGATTCGTGTATACCTAATCTTGTTTCATGATCATGACCCTTTTGTTTTGTTTTGTTATTATTTTTCTACTACTTTTTCTCGTTAGAGTGTAAATAATAGCAAGCTACAAAAGAAGCCTCACACGATTGCGATGAAATAGTTTTCCCACTATTAGCGCAAGGCTAGGCTAGGAAGGTACATAAGCAAACATGCATGTTCTTTTGGGAAAACATAGTTGGATGAACCCTTTTGCTAACTGTGCATGTGAGTGAAATACAAAGCAGTCACTTCATAATTTCTGTGTCATATGTAGAAAAGATTGTGATATGGTGATCCTATCAATATGTTTTTATGCACTCTTATTTTTATTTTTTATTTTTCATTGTTTGGAGAATCTTTGTCAAGTGATGTCATGGTGATGGAGCTACATGTGTTTTTATACACAAACACATGCAGCCATAGAATAGGATGCAAGAATGGTGGACCCAAAAGAAGAAAGGAGTCTTAAATATAAAAATAAACAATTTTTGTGACCATACTTCAAGCTTCCACAAAATCATATAATTATTTGCATGTATCTAGCCTAGGGCTAAATGTATTTTTCCAATGTGGTTCTGGTACTGAACCTGAGGAGGAAGAGGAATCTCCAAGGCTTCACCCTCCCCTGAGAGACAAAAGGCATAAACAACTCTCATAGCTTTTATACCCTGCTTCAACATTGTAAAGAAAAAACATTCAGCCAGTTGATTTCACAATAAAGAGATATATGTATGTACACATACAGATGAGCAAAATCTACATGAAAGATTTTAGGGCGCATATATTTTAGGCAAATCCTAAACTGCAAGGCCTTCTGTAACCTGTACGAGATCATGCCATGACATATCGTAGCCATTTCACGTGTCCAAATTTCATGTTGATACTGGATGTAGAGAAACATACATCAGACACCAAGGCCTAAGACATCATCTATGGACATGACTCCTATAGTGTGCAAAGTTGTGAAACAGTGGAAATTCTGCAATCTTTCTTTACTAAACAGAACTTCTCAACAATTCCACCTTGGATTAGCATTAAACTAACTTGTCCATCCCGGATTTTGTGTTCATTTGGTTAGTCCTATATAAAAACACCAAAACCCATGAATGAAAATTTCAAGATCGCTTACAGTTTCAGTATTGCCGACGTTTGAGAAAAATATCATGTCAAAATGTCATGATTCGAAATCCTAGCTACAGACAATTACTACTGGTAATTGTGTTTCAACAATCCCACTGCTGAAAATCTAACTCACTTATTACAAATGTATATGAGAATATCTCTTAATATATAGCAAACTTGTGCTGCATATATCACAAGTCAACAAAATCATATGATATTGATTTTAGATATTGCACTGTGGAAATAGATGCTAGAATTAAATTTCTGGTTAAAATATATATTTACTCTAAATTGATAATGTAAACATACACAGCAAGTTCTCCATATAGACAAAGATCTTTCAATTCCATACAAGTCAAGACATGTCTTAATTGGAGCGAATATTCATATTTCAAGAAAGTGTTGTGCTGATACTGGCTGATAATTAATTTTAAGGAAACTATGAAGGCTAAACAACCTAGAAGTAACAAAACTTGAAAAGGTTAACTTCAATTATTGTTTTAATCAACTTCTCAAACAATCCTCACAGGCCTGTCAATCTAACTACCTAATTCTGTATCAGTAGTACTGCAGTCCACTCTATCATGATGTAATGGATACAGAATGGTGAGTATTTTCAATCTAAACATCAGATACGGTTGAGTGATTTTATTCCCCAAGGACCTGTCATTACTGGAATTTTTATCTTGTTACATACATAGCTCACAATCTACAAAAGGTAAATTTGAAAATAGATCATTTCCTATGGTGGACCACAGTATACAGGACCATTTAGTAGGATCAAGAATCACACAATACTTCAAAAGCATGCAACAAGAATAGCCCTATTGCAGGCTGATTAAAATTTCAAAAACAACTTTAACAGGTTGCTTAAGTGCAATAAGTATAACACTGATAGGTTGTAGAGTACATTTATTGACTTACAGCATATCCACCATAATAACAAGCAGTTTTCAAAAATATGGAGTAAGACAGAGAGGAAAGGCTTACCATTATGGAAATCCACTCGAGAACTCCAGATAGCTTAGTTCTCGTTTGTGCTAGACTTAACAAGTCTCTGAAATTTTTCTGATAGCTCTTGATAAAGCTGAGTTTCTGTCGGCTTCACTTGTTCAATTGCAGTCTTTAAATGTTGCATCTTTACTTCTGAGGCATCAAGGCTCTCCTGATAGAAGAAATAATCAAGAAATAATCAGATTAAGAAAAGAAACACTCATGCAACAAAATTAGGAACCATCTAACCTCCAAAGCTGCAACAGCTGCTTCTTTGCAAATTAACGATATATCAGCGCCAGTGCAGCCTTCTGAAAGATGAGCAAGTTCATATATGTTGACATCAGAACAGCACGGAATCTTGCGTAGATGAATACGAAATATCTCTTCCCGATCGGGCTCATTTGGAGGTCCCACATATAGCAGCCGGTCAAAGCGTCCTGTTCAAAAGAAATATATTCTTAGGAATGTTTGAAAAGTTTGTGGAGATATAGAAAGAAGCTTGTAGAAACCTCAACCACCTTGTGTTTAACATGTTACGGGAAACGGATGTTTTTCATGAGACGGGTGAATGTGAAGGTGAGTACAGAAAATGTGTATGTGTGTGTGTTTGAGAGAGAGAGAGAGAGAGAGAGAGTGTGCGTGTGAGATGTCGCACCTGGTCTTAGAAGGGCACCATCGATCTTGTCTGGCCTATTTGTAGCAGCAATCACAGTGACATCAACTCTTGCATGCAAACCTAATTTTAACAGTATTGATCAAGTCAAAGATACAATAGCAAAAAAAATTATTGCTTTAAGTGAGCATCCTGGCTAATAAAGAACCTACATATTGTTTAAGAAGAAGCCTTACAAAAATAAACTACGAGAAAAGCTACTGTGGATCCAATAATTTAGAACTGTTACTAACCATCCAATTCAACAAGCAGCTCACTCATAACCCTATCTGAAACTGAAACTCCATCACTTTCCTTCCCACGAATAGCAGCAAGACTGTCAATTTCATCAAAGAATATGATTGCTGGGGCATTAGCCCTTGCCTTTGCAAACAGGGATTTCACAGCCTTCTCAGATTCACCAACCCATTTGCTAAAAAGTTCTGGACCCTTCACAGCAAGGAAATTCAGCCGTGCTTCAGAAGCTACAGCACGAGCCATGAGAGTTTTGCTGCATCCAGGAGGACCAAACATCAGAACCCCTGTTGGGGGTCGAATCCCTATCTGTTTGAATGCATCCTGGTGTTTTTGAGGCCATATTACAGCTTCCATTAACTGATTTTTGACCTCCCTTTGACCACCAACATCTTCCCAATTAACCTTCGGAATCTCAAGTTTTACCTAGAAGTTTAAAGCAACAAATTAAGAGTCAGAGTACTTATATCAGTGAGAAAATTCCTTCATATCTGCTGATAGAAAAGTTTCCTATCAAGTGACAGTCTAAAGGGCAAAGGGCAACATAATTTATGATACCAGTGGCCACTGGTATCATCATGAAATGGTTAGTCCAAAGCATGGTGCATGACATGATTAAATAATCAAACCACTGAAAAGTTCACATTTTGAACTCAGAAAAGCACTCTCTTGGAACTGTCAATCCAAAGAGAGAAAAAATAAATAACTCCTAATGTCTTGTAGTTCTGTAAGAGCAGCTGGACTCAAATAGCTGGCCATTTGGTCTGTGCTTGTCCATTGTATGATGAGTCCATAAAGAGAAAGTGGAACCTTGACTTTAATTAAACTAGTTTAGGGATACTGGAACTTTGGTACACAACATAGACTAAACAAAAATGACTGCCTGTAAACATGGAAGTATTGACCCTACCTCTCGCATGGCACTGGGCCCCACTCTCATCCTGGCCTTTTCAAAATCTTCAAAAGCCACTTGTAAGACACATTCTTCTTCTATGCCATTCAGGAAATTATCACCATTTGCATTTGTTCCCTTCACATGCACAGATATCTCTGAAGAAAAATCCAAATCCAAATGTGAGATAGATGAAGATGTGGAATCTGAGAAATCCCCCTTGATACGTGTGTTGTATCTTTTGAGCAAACAGATAGTATTAGACCATTAGAAATACCTTCATGAGAAATAGATGTTTGGTGCAAATAATCATGAGAGTATTTATATTTGACATAACGCTTAAGACAATTGAAGCCTGCCTCGTTACAAAGGGCAGCTAGATCAGCTCCTACGAAACCATGTGTAGCAATGGCAAGATGTTGGACTTGTTCATCTGAAAGAGAGTGCTCCATGGCACTGACAAGAACATTAAGTATCTCCAAACGTTGGTTGGGAGATGGCACACCTGAATGTCAATTTTCAAAAGAAAGATATTATTGACATATCTGAAAAGGGAAAACAAGCTCTGCCTACCAGTATAAATACATTGATAGTGTAACGGAACAATCTTTATTCAATTACTTTTCGAAACACAGGGATATTACTCAGTACACTTATAACAAATGTATAGCCAAAATACCCCAAAGATAAGGACATGAAAACATTAAAATAAAATAAAAACCAATAGTTTCTAAATAAATAAACAAAGAGTATGCAAATTAAACTAGCCTTCTGACAAAAATAAAATAAAATTTTAAACTAGGCTAATTATTATCTCTGCAATTAGATTGATACCACAATTCCCCTCAGTTTGTCAAACCTCTAACGGACCAACATATTAGATTGATACCTTTTTTTTTTCTTGCAAGTGTAACTCTGAAACTACTCTGAAAGGTTTTGGATATTACTAAAAAATAAGTACTACGAAAAACTTCATATTACCTATTTCAATTTCCTTGTCAAGTCTTCCAGTTCGTCTGAGTGCAGGATCAATGCTATCAAGCCTGTTGGTAGCACATATTACAAGTACTCCATTTCTATTAACCCCGTCCCCATCTATCAACTTCGACAGTGTACTAACTATTCTTTCAGATAGCGCTTCACCTCCATCTTTCCTTGCAGGTGCAATAGCATCAAGCTCATCAATGAATAACTGTGGACAGAATCCATTAGAGAAAATGAAGTATAGATGTGTGATACTGAATCAACTAGTCTCTCAAAGGCAATAGCTTGGTAATATAATCAAATTAATTAAACCACGTTCCACAAATATACATTCACTCTTTTAAAATGACACAGTTTAACTGTCAACATTTTATTGCCAACTAATAATGTTAACATTGCAGTATTAACTATAAAGTTAACCTTGTAGTGTTGACTAATAATGTTAACATTTTAGTTCTGTCTTTAAGCCTCCAAAAGGGCCTTTACTTGCATACATTGCTTATTAATTAAAACCTTGTAAATTCAAAAGTTCCTTTTAGTACGTATTTTATCAAACTTCCTCAAAGTTAAGTTTTTATGATAGTTTTTTATATAAATCAAGCCCTTGTTTGCTGTAAGGTCTTTGGTATAATTCTAGGACAGCACCTTTTCCAGTATTTAGTTATATTTTCAAAGCATAAGGCGGGATTTGATTCAGTTTTATTAGGCAATTTTGCACCTAGAGAGTATGCAAGGGGGTGTTAGGTTTGGATATACAAAATTAATCAGCGTAGTCTTCACTACATCCCACAAAAAGGACCCCAAGTTAATGCAATTTTCAGCATAGTCAATTCCCTACGTATAAGTCTCCAGAATTTTTACTTCACACAATGGATTAACAATCTTAATTTCAAGATTTCTGTAAACTCTGACAATTTCCAAATTCCTAGGAAACCCTGTGCCATGTTTATTTGAGATTTTTAATGAGCTATCTACAGAAATCACATCAGGGTTCACAATGACTAAAGGCCCGGGCCAGTATCAATAGTGCACATGAAAAGGATTAAAACAGTATTGCCTGTTGAATGGAAGTACACAATTGTATATTTGCCTTTACCACCACATGCATCTAAGTTCTAACCAGAAAATGAAACCTTCAAATAAAAGGCAAGAAAATTGACACAGAGAAGAAAACTAACCACAGAAGGCGCAGCTTGGCTAGCTGAATCAAAAACTTCATGCAAAGCTTGCTCACTTTCTCCATGGTATTGGCTCACAACTTCAGGTCCATTGACAGAGAAAAAATTGACGCCAGAATCACGGGTACATAATCGAGCCAACGAAGTCTTTCCCGTACCAGGAGGACCATGAAGAAGCACTCCCTTTGTAGGTTTTAAACCAAAACTAATTAAAAAAACATATATGCATGAATTACTGTAAGAAAAGAATGGCCACAACTTATGAACACATCAAAACTATATGTTTCCACCGCCAAGTGAACACGTTAATTGGTATGATCCTGGAAGACAAGAATTACAATTTTTTTTTTCTTTCCAAAGATCAGCTGTATTTCCTGTAGACAAATCATTTAATGTATGCATCAGACAATATTGTAATGCCTTATTATTTGGTAATTCTATATATTTCATCATTTGTAATTGAAAAATTCCATTTAGATTGACAAGTCATCTAACTTAAAAAATGTATCTTTTTCATGAATGGGGGAGCACACCACTAAGTAATTAGTAGTATAATCTTATAATTAACCATACAGCTTATACCTTACATGTTAATGGCCTTTACATCAAATGAATATTCGTACCACAATCAGAAGTTGTAGGCCCGAAGTTTAGTATCACATGCAAATTTCGGTTACACTATTAAGAAACAATAATGTTTCATATGACGTACCTTGGTAAAATGTCCATAGAGGATGAAATTATGATGTCCTTCAAAATTTCATATTCTTTAGAAAGACCGGCCAATCTTGAAATATTATCTCCTGTATCAGCTATAGAATCATTACATTCCACACTAGACAGATTGCTTCTCTGCAGAGTTTCAGATGCTGGGTTTGATGACAAATGAAAACATACTTTCGATTCTCGCTTCACTAGAAAAGCATCATTTTCACCACCCACTAGTTCAGAAGCCTCATTTAGCAAATCATGATTAGCATTATTCTTTGACAAAGTTTTAGCACCAATCACTCGGAGTAAACAAAGCTGTGAAAGCATTGGGATGGTCACAAAATTTCCAATAAGTAGACAGCGAGAATACAACCATGTTGTAGCACATGTCTGCAGAAGTCTTTTTGTACTGTCATCCCCTAAAACCTCTTCAATATCAAAAGAATCAACAGATGACTCATTGGGAATGGTTACATTTCCTACTGACTCCCCACGCCGTGGTGAAGTTACTGGACTGGTATCAGAAACACTAAGCTTTGATTGATTCAATGGTGTCTTAGGGGATGCAAGCATTCCATTTTCAGAATGACAGTAAGATTTTTGATAAGAAAAATTGGTAGAGGTATTGTTCATAATTAATCTATTGTTAGAATGAAGAAGCTCCAAAACTAACTCCTTGCAGTCGTATACTGAGAGGCAATTAACTTTAGTGCTACGTGCTTTTCTTGTATCACATACAAGACCAGCTTGGGATTGATTTTGTACAGAGTGGATGAATATGACCCTGCCTGATGGAGGACAACCCATTGTATTGGAAAGATGTGAAGACAATCGCACTCCATTCTTTATAACCTGAGATAAAGACATGACTAAAAATAAAGAAAATGCAGACCCCAAATGTTGTAATGCAATAATTTATTCGAATGAATCAACCATTAGAAATCCAAACTCCAAAATGCCCAAGGCAATTAAAAAAACGTATTTATTTAATCAACAAAGGTTTCCATAACAAATTGCACACAACGAATTCGATAATTAGATTTTTTGATCTGATCACAGGATGCCATTTCAATATTCAACAATACAGTTCAAACAGTAAAGAAGTGAAGTTTGGACCTCTTCCTTTTACAAAAACAAGTTCATATATGGAACATCCTTTGGGATATTAGTAGTCACCCAGTACTGGAGAATGCGTATTTACTGTTTAGAGTTTAGACGCACACTAATGCCACATGTTTTAAGTTTTATTGCATAGTAATTCATCTGCTGAGCCTTTTTTTTGTTCTTAGAAAAACCATTTGTCATAATTGCCATATCAAATAAAGGGTGCAAAAAAAGTAACCCAGTTGCCATTCAAACCTTAGAAGACGGAAAAATAGTTGCAAGAGCAAAGTAGTTCCCTGCGTCATTAGTTAACTGCCCACAAGAATCAACCCCAAAACGTCTAGCACATTCATCTGCTAATGAGCTGAGAGGAAATCCATCTGAAAATCTACTCTTCAAACGAGGAAGAGACACCTATCAATCCAATGAGGGCAAAAACATGACACAGTTAAACCAACAACAAAACAAGAAACAAAGTTTGGATATTTTTTTACAACATGAAAAAGTGGAAATTTACCGACACAATGGATCCAGGAGTGAAGGAAGAGGCAACCATGGAAGGCTCTGAAAGCCAAATTTTACAGCTTTTGGGGTCATCCTGAACATCAGTGACTCGGCCAATGAAAGCAGAGTTCCCAATCAGAGATGGGTATTTAACCGAAGCTAGTTCAAGAGAGCTTGCAAGAATCTCTTCAGTAGCTTCAAAATCAAGTGACACAGGTGAAGAAAAGTTGTCAGAATTCGACAACCTTGATTGTGTCTTTGAATGCTTCTTTCCCTTTGAAGAAGGCATCTGTAAATACAATACTCACAAGGTTGGTGTTTTGGTATGGGGTCTGTGCTATGACTATGAGAAACAAATGGTTTCAGTTGACACAGAAAAAAGAGTTAGCAACAAAGAAACAGAGAGGCAAGAGGGTGAGAAGAGAGACTCAGACTGAGAGCGGCGCGCTCGAGACGGTTGAATCCGAACCCGTCCAAGTATATTAAACGTCGAGTTAGAAATGGCATTGAGTTGAACTTGGCTTGTGCAATGTCAAACCCGATGAATCCGGACTGGGCTTTTTTATTGTGACGGCCGGTTTGGCAGAAATGCTATAATGAGGGTAGGGTTCGTCGTTGGGCCAGCTCGCCCCGAAATATTTGGGTTCAAGTTGGGCTCAGGCCGGGTTTTATGGGCTTTTTAATTTTTCAAGCCGAATAACGTGCTTACAAATAGTTCATACCATCAGGTTCCTTCAAAAACTTCGTTAGTTGTTGATGTGGCATACATGAGAACCCACACATCCAATAATATAGTGTCATGTGTATTTAAAATACAATATAGATTCTAAAAATAATTTAAATTTTAAAATTCATAAAAATGAAAAATGAAAAAATTCAAAAGAAAATTTGTATTTTAAAATATAAATTGTTTTTATAAAATATGTATTGTATTTTAAATACATGTGGCACTATATTATTTGATATGGGCTCCACATATATGTTACATCAACAAATTAACGAAGTTTTTGACGAAAGGACTATTTGTGAGCACGCATATCAACCTTCAGAACCACAAATGACACAAAAAGGCAAGAAGGACGTAATATGATAGTTTTGTGAACCTCAAGGATGTTTTGTAATAAAAAGTCTAAAAATAAATTAAAGTAAAAAGACAAGACATTTACTTAAATGTTTAAAATGGAAATAAGGCAACAAAAGGAAAAACTAGGCAATGAGCGGGCCTACTTGGGCCATGCCCTGGCCTTATTGGGTCGGGTTGAGAGTGGGATAGAGGTTTCAAAACTTAAGCCCAAGCCCTACTTAACATTAGAACATGCCGAGTCGAGCGGGCCTAACCATCAGGTCGGGTTAGGCTTTGGCTCATCAGGCCTCGAACTACCACTTCGACCCTCAAATTCAGGGCCAAATGTCGACCCCTAAATGGGGGTTTAATCCCATTCTCCAATAAGAGAGAGAAAATATTGGACTTAAACTTTTTTAATGATTGAATAGTGGGATTGAATTGTTCCCTCATTCAACCCCCTCACCCAAATCCACCCTTATTGTAGCATCTCCACGGTTTTGGACTCCTCAACTAACTTAGTTTGGTAATTTTTGATATAAAACTATTGTAATTGTGGATAAATATTGCTAACTAAGTGTGCCGCTGCTACACTTTCTTCAAAGCTTACTTTTGCATCCATTTAATTTTATACTTATTATTTTATTCTTGATTTTTTAAAAAAAAATTTTTAACGGGTGAAACAGGTTGTGTTAAGAAAAACTGGTTGACACAAACACAACACAAATATTGCAAACACTACCTGTTTGCCAGGTGTACCAATTTCTACCATCAATACTATGAATTTATTCATTTAAATTGGAGGAAAAAAAATCAAAATCAATCATTTGTCATTTATTTAATTATATTTTATATATGAAATTCCTTTTTCATCATTTTGCATGAAATTGATAGTCAAAAATCTCACATAAGATGGGTTAGAGTTAGACAAAAGAGCCCAACAACAATTTTAATTGCCCTCATCTAATTGTTTTTATTTTTATTTTATAGAGCCGTTCAAATGAAGCTGTTTTTCACTGTTTTTCTTGTGCGATTTCTATATATGTGTTCGGGCCTAAAAATTGACACACCCAGCCCAGCGAAAATGAGGCCCAGAATAAAGCTGCAAAAATCAAAGAAAGATGGAAGCCCAAAAACCAGAAGAGCCCAGCCTAAAGCAAACAAAGCTAATCTGGGCCTCACATGCCCAATATAATAAAGAAGAGGGAGCCCAGAAACAGGAACAATAAAGAAAAGTCAGCAATGGCAACTGTCATAGAAGAAGTGATTGAAGGGTTCATGACATCGAGTTGATTTTGAAAAACCTGAAGATCAAATCCCTCTTACATATATATATTCAGAGATTTTTTCTTCTGTTTTTACAGAGAAGGTAATTCTCCCAAGGAGATAAGCAAGTTACAATCTCAGAGAAGGATAAGCAGGAAAGCAGGGAGCTGTCCAGAAAAGAAGTCAAACTAACCATCACGGGTAAAATCTCACAAGGGGCAGTTGAAATTGGGAAGGAGATTAGGTTCCTTTTCAAGAAAATCAGGGAAGTGATTGCTTATTTGAGAGCCTATCTGCCAAAACTGAAGAAATCCTATTTTCTTTCTTTCCATTAAAAAAGAAAAAGGGGGAGATATCTTTTTGCCGCCCAATATTAAACAGAATCACCATACTCCAGAAAAATATTTTATTAACTCAAAAGCTTCACAAAAGCATGAGGTACATCAAAGCTCTGCCAGAATCAGCCTTTGGTATCGATTTACAAGTTGAAGCCTAGCAGTCAGGGTTGTCAACGGTCCAGTCCAGCCCAAGCGTCCCCAGTCCAGCCCAGGCATCTCCAGTCCAGTCCAGACCAGAACCTTCTATCTCGACAGAAATAAAGTCCCGGCTGTCCCTTCATCTTTCTCTAGCATAAGTATTCACTGTTATATTTTTTGTAAAAGGCAGTTCCGCCTAAAAACAATTTAAATCCCATCAACCATTCTGGCCAAGGCAACCTCTTTATATTGAGATAAATTGTTAAAGTCCTCACCAGTCTGAGGCAGGAAAAAAACTTACTTGGGAGATATTCCTCACCCAAATTCACAATCGTTTGTTTGCAGAAATCAGTAACTTGGGACGCAAGTTATCCATTCCAAACTAAGTCTACTAGAAATTTTGCTGGCAGTGGCACGCTCGCACACCAAAGAAAGCTGACTTGTTGACCAGTTTATGGTTCTCAAGGCAGTGGGGAACTTTGCCCTTCCATCATAGGAGTAAACACAAGAACGGGTGAACAATATGAAACCTAGGTTTGAGTGTGATTTCTTCAATTTAGTTCAATTCAAGTTTTGATTGTTGATTTTAGGACCGATGTTGCACTGTAGGATTTTTGCACATATTTTTGTTATTCTCTTAAATGCGATTTTATGGTTTCTAGTTGAATTTTGAGTTTTGAAATCGTTATGCAAGTCATATTCTCCCAGTTGTTAAGTTTTTTCGGATTTGATTCAAAGTAAATGTTAATAATTTTCTTCTAATTTATTAAGATCTAGATTGTTTGAGTACAGTTTTGATCTTTAAGTTGGTTCGGTTTTGTTATTTTTTTTCTCTTTAGATAGTAAATAATACAAAGCTACAAAAGAAGCCTCATATGATTGCGACGAAATAGTTTTGTCCATTATTAGTGGAAAGCCAAGAAGGTACTTAGGAGTCAATATTTGCCTCACGGCCATGGGCCGAAGTGGGTAGCACAAGGCTTGAGGGGTCAAAGTTCGGCCCGACTTGATGATTAGGCTTGTTCGGCCTGGCCCGCTCTAAGGTTGGGTAGAGCTTGGGCTTAGGATTTGAAAACTTTGGCCTGCCGAGGGCCCGGTCTGATAATGCCCATCTGTGGCTTGGCCCAGTCTAGGCCCCTCTTTGGTCGGCCCAATCTAGGCCCGTCTGTGGCTCGGCCTGGTCTAGGCCCGTCCTCTTTTTTAAGATTTAATTGATGCACTCTTTAACCTCCTTTTATACTTAATCAAAATAATGTAATATGAATGTTATAAATTAAGTTAATTTTTTCAATGTTGTCTAAAATTTTGTAACAAACAATAAACACAATATCTTTTAGTGCACTTTTTTTTTGTCAAGTTCAAATTTAATGGTTCAATAAAGAATTTGAAAGATTATTTTGCTTTTATTAATTATAATGACACAACTTTCTTTAATTTTCTTGATGTCAATCCTAGTTTGGGATAAAAGTAACTCATTTTCATATGATTCATTTTTAGGTATAATATTTTTAAAATATATTGGCTATTGTTCGAGGTCTAGTAAAAGAGTTTAGCTCCTATATTTTTGTTTTCTTTAGTTATATAGTAATCTATACTATTGTTCTTTTTATCCATCACTTTTGATCACAAAAAAAAAAAAAAAGTATAACAAAAAGATTTAAAAGACTTATAATTTTTTATTTTTTTATAAAAGCTTGACTCATTTAGGCCCATGGTGGCCCGACCCATTAGGCCGGTAAAAGCCCAGCCCAATGGGCAGGCCTAAATCCTTTGAAATCTATGCCCGGCCCGAAATTTAAGAAAAGCCCATTAGGGCTAGCCTGGCCGAGTAACGAACCCAAAGAGTACTTATGCAGTCATTTTACATACCTTCACAGGACAAGTACTGGTGCAGGTGTACAGATGTTGAAGATGAATTTGTGTTTATTTTGGAGGACTCCCCCAAATCGAATGAATTTATGTTGCCAATCTTCATAATTTCTGTGTTTTTATGCACTCATTTTTTTATTTTTTATTTTTCATTTTTTTGGGAGAATCTTTGTCAAGTGATGTCATGGTGTTGGAGCTATAGAATAGTGGACCCAAAAGAAGAAAGGAGTCTAAAACATAAAAATAAGCAATTTCTGAGTTTCAAACTTCCATAAAATCATATAATATCATTTCCATGCATCTAGGCTAGGGCCATATGTTTCTTTCCAATGTGCTCATTCTGGTACTGAACCTGAGGAGGAAGAGGGATCTCCAAGGCTTCACCCTTCCCTTGGAGAAAAATATAATTTCAAAATGTCATTATGTCATGATTCGAAATCCTTGCTGGAGACAATTACTACAAGAAAGTGTTGTGCTGATACTGACTGAGGAAACTATGAAGGCTTAACGACCTAACAAAACTCGAAAAGCTTAACTTCAATTCTTGTTTTAATAATCAACTTCAATTCATGATAGCTCTTGATAAAGCCGAATTTCTGTTGGTTTCACTTGTTTAATTGCAGTCTTGAAATGTTGCACATCTTTACTTTTGATAGAAGAAATAATCATGAATTAATCAGATTTCGAAAAGAAACACTCATGCAACAAAATTAGGAACCATCAAACCTCCACAGCTGCTAAGACCAAACAAACATAATCTAATCTCATAGATGTTGGTTGATTGTATGACCAGCCAATTGAGAAAGGGTCTCTTATTGACATTAACTGGATATATTAGCTCAAGATTGAGGCTCATTTTGCTTAGACTTTTAGCCACATTTTCCAAACCATAGCTGCAACGTCCAGCTAAACGAATTATATAAACATCACATCAACATGTTGTAATGCAACAGATCAGCTCAAGTCATTAGGCCTGGGTCGCGCCGGGCTTTTTCAAGTGGAGAAGAATTTATGGGGCGATTCGGGCTGGGTCTTTATAAAAAAAATCAATACACAGGCCTGCCCCATGGATTGGGCTTTCACAGGCCCACAGGGCCAGACCGGGCCTAAATGGGCTTTAATGATTTTTTTATTTGAAATATTTAGTCATATACCAATTATTAGCACTAATGATATAGATAAACCATATATCATTTAATTCCTATAAACAAACCAAAAAAAAAAAAACTCAAAAAATGACAGCTGGCCATATTGAATTTAATTTTGATTATTAAATTACTTTGATACCTTATTGAGTGTTTTGGGTTTTTTTTATGAGGTTTTGGGGTTGAGTTTGTTTTAAGAAATCAATGACAGTTTTGTAATTTATAAGAAGTTAAAAGCCTCTTTGTTATGTTGTAAATACGATTTGAGTGTGTTTCTAAAATCCATTTTATATAGTGTTTTTTATATATTATTTGGACCCCTATATTGGGTGTTTTAGTGATTCTCCCTTTTTATTTCTTTTACTAATATAAGACTTTTTTTGTTCTTTGATATAAAGACTATTATTAGCAACATGACTTTCAAATTGTTCTTACAGGATTGTTACGCTTGTTGACAATTGTGTTTTAAGAATTAGTTAAGCTCAATACAATGCATAAAAGCTAACATGTAGTTACAAATTGAAGAAATTAAGAAAACTCTTATTCATTGAATTTTTCTCTATGGTTAGTCATGCCCAAGTATCTTTTATATTTTTATTCCTTCTCACTTCTCTATTTCTATTAAATTTCTGGGCTAGGGCTGCGGGCTTGGTGATATCCCAAAAAACCCTAAACCCTAGATCCTAAAACCCTACTTATACTCCTCAACCTAACCTTCTCAAACCTTAACCCCAATCCTCAACCCCAACCAGGAGCTTCTTCTCTCTCTCTCTCTCTGAGATGGAAAGGCATAGCTTTTGTAGCGGCAATAACACCAACACCAACAATACCAAAGACAAGCAGCAATGGAGAGCCGAAGAAGCCACAGCTGGCAACGCTGAAGCTCTCCAAGCTCTCAGAGAACTCATCATCTACCCTCTTCTTTATTCGCCTAAAGCCCAAAAGCTCCGTCTCAAAGTAACACATAAAAAAAAAACACTTTCTCTTTCTTCTCTTACCTTTACTCTTATATCTAATTAACTGGGTTTCTGGGTTTTCATTCAGTGGCCTCGAGGTTTACTTCTCTACGGTCCACCGGGCACCGGAAAGGTACTGAATCATTGCCTCTTTTAAGGCTCCATTTACTTTTTATTTTTAAAGTTGTAAGTTTAACAATGGTTGCTAATTTTGTGTTTGTATAATTATTTTTTTTCTCATGATAGACAAGCTTGGTACGATCAGTAGTTCGGGAATGTGGTGCACATTTAACTGTCATCCGGTACCCTGTTATTCTTTAATCTCTGTATTGTTTTAGTACAAATGAAATGATACCTTCGTTTCCACCCTGCCGATGATTGGTTTAGGTCCTATTAGCTGGGGTAGACTAGGGATCCCTTCGGTTAGGAGCCATTTTATTTGTTCTGTCCTTGCCAAAGGGGCTAGGTCAGATGTGTTATAAACAGACTTATTATAAGTTATGTTCATATTATGTTCTCATGGTTTTGATTTCTTTTATTAACCTCTGCCTTTTTTTATGGTATTTTCTCTGCAGTTCGCATGCTGGAACAAGTGTGAAATTTTTACAGGAGGCTTTCTCAGAGGCTTCATCGCATGCATTGCCAGGCAAGCCGTCACCAGTCATCTTTATAGATGAAATAGACGTACTCTGTCCTCGCCGTGATTCTAGGTAAAAACCAATAGTGCTACGGAGAACCCTAAATGTATCCCTACTCTAACAATCCGATCCTTTGACTTCATATGTTTACACCATAAAAAATAAAAAATAAAGAAAGAAAACTACTTGTTTGCACTTCAGTTTTTATGAAGCATGGATACTCCAATTTAGGTCCGTCTCCGAAAGGATACTCTCTGATATGCATTGTATATGTATCAGAGTCAACACATACGGTCTTTGATCCACGGACCTCTGATACGTTTCAGAGGTTTTAAGAGGGAAAATAAAGAGGAGATAAGCTTTAATTTCTAGTTGAAGAATTCGAAGAGTTTGCAAGATGCAAAAGGACTCCGACTCCAACACTTCTTCTTCTACTGTATCTGTATCTTATTTTTATGTTATTTAAAATATGTTTTAAGTGATATATATTTTTACGACTATATATTAAAATTTTAATATAAATTTTTAATTGTCGTATCTATGTCGAGTATCGTATCCTAGTTTTTAGAGAATTTTTTTCTCTTCGTGTCTTTTTGTATTATATCTCCGTATCCATATCCATGCTTTATTTTCAAATCTTTGGGCATGCTCCAGTTAATATGTTGAAGTTATGTTTCAATTGCAGAAGTGCAAAAGATCGCCTAGCATGTGAACTCATTAGGCTGATGGACTCCAACACATCCTCATGCGTATCACAAGTTGTTTTTGTTGCATGCACTAACAGGTATTTTTTTTAATCCCCTACAATTTATGATGTGATCTATCTGTGGTTTGTTATTTCATCATGGTTTTGAACTTTCTGATACTGTCCTCCGAAAATTTTATGCTTCTTTATTCATCTCATTGTCAGTTTGTATATTTCCAGAAGAACTCATGTCTTTCTCATCTTATTAATGTTCTATTTGGAACATATGTATGTTGTTACTTAATTAAGACCATTCGTTTAGTTCTCGTATATTATTTCATATTATATTCTAAAGGGATTAATTATCTGGTTCCTACATACAAAGAGTTGAATCAATTCATCCAGCACTAAGAAGGCATGGGCGTCTTGATTTTGAAATTGAAGTTACTACACCTACTGAAGAAGAACGCTTTCAAATTCTCAAGGTGAGAGTGATGCTTTCAAAATTTTGTAAGCGAGAAACTGGGCTTACTTTTGTTTTTGGTAATGTCCATCAATTCTCATCTCGCTCAATTTGACACCCATTTTTCTTTTAATATCAAAAACTTTTTTTCACTAAGTTTAATAGAATTCAAAAGATATGACCTTTAGGGTTTAGGTACGCTTAAAACTATGTTTTTGATTGCTCAGCTCTACACGAGGAAGCTTCCTTTGGATTCCAACATTAATCTACAAGCCTTAGCTGCATCTTCTAATGGATATGTTGGGGCTGACCTTCAAGATTTATGTCGTGAGTCTACTCGCTTTGCAAAGAAAAGGAGCTCAGATGCAAATGAAGATGCTGGTGTGTTTAGCGTAACAACAGAAGACTTTATGCATGTAAGATCTGAGGGTAATCGAAGTATAACAAGAGGTGTTACGGTGGAAATCCCCGAATTGAAGTGGGAAGATATAGGAGGATTAAAAGATGTGAAGGTGTGTAAATTTTCTTGTTTATCTTAGTTTGAAGTCTCACAGATGGTACTAATTATACTTCACCTTCTCATTGACAGGAAACCCTCAAGGAAGCTCTTGAGGGGCCTCTTACATATGCTACACAGCAGAAAAGGCTGGGAATATCACCCATGGGTGGAATTCTTCTCTATGGTCCTCCAGGATGCTCAAAAACCACCCTTGCTAAAGCTGCTGCACATGCTACCCAAGCTTGTTTTTTTTCTTTGAGGTACGATCTTCTTTAAATCAGTCTATTTAAGCCTAAATTACACTGGAAGTTTTACAATTATAATTAGTCTATTTGACAAAGTAGAAGAGATGCGCATGCCTGAATTTCATATACTTTGAATCAGTGGTGCGGATTTGTTTTCAAAGTATGTTGGAGAGGGTGAAGCCTTACTGCGCAATACCTTTCGGATTGCTCGCCTTACAGCACCAAGCATAATATTCTTTGATGAGGTGGATATTATTGGTAATAAAAGGTAAGTAACTTAATGTGTTGCAGTTATATATGGGACTAATCTGCACATTGATGATTTGTTATTTTGTGTATTGGAGCAAGTACACTTAATCCAATGAGAATTTCCTTGATGAACTCCTACTTACATACAAGTCCCACAACTTTTTTGCTTGACTTAAATGGGCAGAGGTGACAGTTCAAGCAACAACAGTACCGTTGGAGAAAGGATTCTGTCTACTTTGCTGAATGAAATGGATGGTTTAGTAGAGGCCAAGGTAAGCACTACATCCCATTAAATTCTCTTGCTTGTGCAATAGTTTTAAGATTAATTTGTGCGTGGTATCCATGCTGCATTAATTCTCATTTTCCTGTGCCTTTAAATTGTACCCTCCTTTGGTTTTCAGGGAGTCTTTGTTTTGGCTGCTACGAATCGTCTTTCTGCAGTGGATCCTGCATTACTTCGCCCAGGACGCTTTGATTTGGTAAGAAGTTTGTTCTATCATGCGACTTTGCCGTGTTATTTTTCAATTAATTTTTTTCCCACCTTTTTCCTTTTGTTCTGGTTGTGGTTGAGGTCCTTTATCATGGTCTGGTTCTCGATGTGCGATGTTCCAAACTCTATAGGAAACAAAACTTGGGCGGTGTCAAAGAGATCAGTTAACTCTGTTATTTTATGAACTTTGTAGGAGCTCTTTGTACCACCACCAGATGTAGAAGGTCGATACGAGATACTTCAGGTACTTACACGTAAGATGAGTGTAGCAGATGATGTTGATCTCAAACAAATAGCAACAGATACTGAGCACTTCACAGGAGCCGAGCTGAAGCTGCTATGCAAGGAAGCTGTAATTTCGGCTATGAGAGAAGACATGGATGCCCCATTTGTGTGCAATCGCCATTTCCAGACTGCAAAAGTTTCTGTAAAGCTAAGATTAACCAAAATCAAGCTTGATTCATATTCTTCGACATCAACTGCAGAACGCAATCTTCAAAGACAGTGCAAGGAGTTTCCTTTCCCTTTAAATTTATTTGGGTTAAATACTTTTTTTTTTCTGTTAAGTGCAGTTTTTTTATTTTTTATTTTTAGGAAACACCTTCAGTCTTTTTCCTCTAACTCAAAAACTCAATGAGTTAGGGTATATGTGCTATTAGGGTTTAATAAATTGAGAGAATTCTTGGGTTGAAATTGAAATTGTGGAGTATAAGGAAAATAAAAAAGCCAAATCAAATTAACATGAAACCAACAATTTTCAAATATACTTTGGTGCTCTATCACCTTGATTATGTCTCCTTGGTTCTCACTCAATTGTTTAAAGCATCAATATAGCATCAACTTATTAAACACACTCAAAACCCATTTATAAACACACCCAAAAAATATACAATTGTTGATTTTTGGGTTGATTTTGGGTGTGTTTCTATGTTTTAAACGATGTTGGTTTTTTTTTTTATAAATATGTCTAGAATTGAGTTTATTTATAAATTTGTATTTATTAAATCCTAATACCACACATACCCTAACTTGTATAAATAAATAAATAAAAAAACCTGCACTCAAAGAAGTTAATGGAAGACAATAGAATGTCTGTAAATTGTAAACTGTGGGAAATGCATTTATGAATTTGGCTTTTTTTTTTTTTTTTTTTTTTTTTTTTTTTTGCATTGACCAATTTTGCTTTCATTTTATATATATATATATACATATATATTTTTCCTTTTATCCATCAATTTAATGCTTCCATTAAATTATTTTTTTTTTGCCAAGAACTTTTTATACTACCATTTTCAATCAATCTCTTTTTCTTAATGGATTATGGGAGAATATGAAAATAGAAGAGAAGAACTAAATCCATATGACAAGCTTACTAAAATTTTGCATAGTTTTCTTATAGAAATATAAGGGCCCGTTTGGTATCCTATTTCGATCCAATTTTATAAACTCAAAAACAAATTTTAAGTCCAAAGTTAAAAAACCTATTTGGTAGGCTCATTTTCAAAAACCCAAACTCAAAAACACCCTTATTATTGAAAACAAAAAAAGTTAGATTTTAGACTCTCTCTCTCTTGCAGGTCTTCCCAAATCTCTTTTTTTTTTTTTTCCCAACAGATCTTTCCCTCCATCCTCCCTCTTGTCTCTTTCTGTTTCGCAGGTCTCCCAGATCTCTCTCTCTCTCTCTCTCTCGCAAGTCTTCCAAATCATTCTCTCCATCCTCCCTCTCATCTCTCTTCGTTTCACAGGTCTTCCAAATCTTTCTCTCCATCCTCCTTGTCATATCTCTCTGTTTCGCTGGTCTCCCAGATCTCTGTCTCCATCCTCCCTCCCTCTTTCTCCTTTTCTTTTGTTAATTTCAATTTAGGAATCTAGGGTTTTTGATTTTGTAATTTTAATTTTAATTTCAATTTTTTAGATCTTAAAAATAGTTTGGAGTTCAATACCAAACAAATTTTTAGATTTTAAAATTATTATTTAAAAATTCATGTTTTAAAAAGAATGAAATTTGAATTCCTTTTTTTGACCAAACAGGCCCTAAGCATCTCCAAACCAGATCCTAGTCAAGTTTTAAACTTTATGAACCATACAAATTTAGCAACATGATCCAAGATGGTTAACCTTTTTTTGTTTTTTCTCTTTTTACTTATGATATGCATACATTTCTGTTTGGATTATGCTTTAAATAAGATATTGTAGTCTATTAAATTCCACAAACAAAATCATTTTTCAAAAGCTGGGAATCTTCTTGTGTTATTATTTTCACATTAGATATTAGCCCTCGTAACAAATGACTTGACAATTAGTTTGTTTATTAACTATATTCTGTTAAACACAATTTTTTTTATTTCATCAATGGAAAGAGGAATTTGAATTTAAATATCTTTCAACATTTAAGAGAAACTAAATAATTGTCAAGTCATTTGACACGTGGGCACCTAATTGCTAGGCTGGTTTTTTTTTTTTCTGCAAATAGTATAGCCGCA